TACCTTTGCAATCAATCTATCTAGCTGCAATGGCCCAAAACATGTACACAAACGCACACACACACACACACGCATTGTGCACACACACAAAAATGCGCACAGAATCATGGGCACAGATGTGTACACACGCACAAACACGCGGGAGCAGAGATTATTTAACTTCTATTGTGAATATATGGCTTTCTCACGTCACCAATGCCGGCAAACCAAAAATAAAAAAGAAGCTCGTAACAAGAACATGATCTAAATTTGTGCAGCAGAGCTATTTTTGTCTTTGCTTCTCATTTCAAATCATAACGCAAGGTACCACACACTAACCAAGAAAAAGAAAAAGAAAGAAAAAAAAAAAATAGTAGTAGCAGAGAAAAAAAAACAACATAAAAAAAAAAAACACCAAGAATAAAAGGGAATAATAAATACCAACGATAAACTTCCTATGGGGTTCAACTTCGGATGACGATGATGACACCTGGAAAGTAATACATCCAGGAATCGTACAACATATGTACATGTTACATAAAAACGGATTCATTGAAAATGTCTCAGCTTTGGACATTTCAGCATTAACGAATTCAAATGAGCTTTGAAAAGAAATACAATGATGATGATGATCACAATAATAATAACAATAACAATAATAATAATAATAATAATAATAATAATAATATTAATAATAATAATAATAATAATAATAATAAAAACATCTAGATGCTATTTACTTTGGTGGACAGAATAAGGAGTTTTTACTTCTTTCAACTATTGCCAGTGGAATAAAGTGTAGGAACAAAGTGTTATACTAGAAAAAAAAGAAATGAAAGGTCACCAATTGCATATCGATATACCAGGAAACAAACCACTTTAAAAATAATTGAATATATACAGCAATAACAATCACAATGTGCAAGTCAAAGAGCAATCATACCTTTGCAATCAATCTATCTAGCTGCAATGGCCCAAAACATGTACACAAACGCACACACGCACACACACGCATGTGCACACACACAAAAATGCGCACAGAATCATGGGCACAGATGTGTACACACGCACAAACACGCGGGAGCAGAGATTATTTAACTTCTATTGTGAATATATGGCTTTCTCACGTCACCAATGCCCGGCAAACCAAAAATAAAAAAGAAGCTCGTAACAAGAACATGATCTAAATTTGTGCAGCAGAGCTATTTTTGTCTTTGCTTCTCATTTCAAATCATAACGCAAGGTACCACACACTAACCAAGAAAAAGAAAAAGAAAGAAAAAAAAAAATCTGACAAACTTGGCATAGATGGAATTACTTCCAACAACAACTTGAAAAGAAAAGATAAAAAAAAAAAGGAAAAGAAAAAAAGTTTGAAAAAGTCATTTACAAATAAAAGCCCCCCCCCCCCCCAAATATATATATATAAAAAGAAATTAACTAAAATAAATAAACAAATAATAATAATAATAATAATAAAATCTCTAATCAGAACACACGTCAAACGAGCAGAGACGTTTTACAAGGCGAAGATGGCTTGCCTTTAATATAACTATAATCCACTTAACCATAACGTCACCCATTTACATAAAACATATATACATATGTATATATTTATTCATATTCATTCATATAGCTATCTCTATGAACAATATATGAAATCGACAGTGGTAATACTGAAATATAAGCAACTGTAATTCCATACATAATTCACTCTTATATAGTATAAGGACAGGAATTTTTTTTTTTTTTTTTTCGGCGGCGGGATGCACTGGGAAACCAAACCGAAAAGTCCGCTTCTTCTTCTTCTGGGAACTCGAAAATCCGGAGAGAAATTGGGTCTATTGATCACACGTGTGCACTATTGTTTCTTCTTGAGCTCTTGGTTTGCAGATCTCACTCTCTATTTCTCTCTTTTTGTTTTTCTTACCTGACAGTCTACTTGTCTATCTATTTATCTATTTATCTAATTATCCATCTGTCTGTGTCTTTCTGTTTGTCTGTCTGTCTGTCTGTCTGTCTGTCTGTCTGTCTGTCTGTCTCTGTCTGTCTGTCTGTCTGTCTGTGTACAAATGTACATTTGACATGTACATATCTATCTATCTTTCTAACTATCTATCAACCTTTTCATCCACTCATTCTCTACCTCTACCTGCATTAGCTCTCTAACTGTTTCTGTCTACATATGCATATTAGTGTCTGTCTATCTGTGACTATTTGCACCTGTCCGTCTGTTTGTCCATCCGTCCATCCGTCTATCCGTCTATCCGTCTGTTTGTCCGTCATTACTCACTCACTCACTAACCTACTAGCGTACCCACACTGACTACCACTTTCCTACACTATTCTGCTTGAATAAATATTAGAAAGGACAGCTTATACCACAGCCAAGACTACATCCAAAAAGAGGGAAGAATAAGAAAAAAAATAATAATACTAATAAAACAAAACAAAAACAAAACAAAAACTAACAAAAAAATGACAACAATACCATAACAAACTCAAGTCTGCCAATCGCTGC